GAAAGATTACTATAATGTTATAATATTTTACTATGTGGAGTTGAAATATTAAAACTTATGTACTCAGATTTTTTTGTGGTTTTAGATTCTTATTGGGAGGTAAAATTTAAAAATGTCAAACATACAGAAGCTTAGCTGTGGCTCAAGTGGTAGAATACTAGCCTTGGGCCAAAAAGCTCCATGACAGCATCCAGGTCCATAGTTAAAGACACAGAACCTTTTCTAAGCCAATCATTATACTTGGTTTTCAGAGTAGTCAGGACCCTCTCTTCTGTAACCATAATGGAGTCAACCTACATAGACTCAGGCTATACAAAAGAAGTTCTACCTCAACAGCTCTGAGAGAGATTAGAACTTGAATACAGACAATGAGAATCATGAAATATTTTCTAAAGTCTCAATCTTGCTGTGCCTGGCTGCGCTATTCTTGTTTTTTTTTTTTTTTAATACTGGTTTGACTACTAAGATTGCTATCGGGTCACAATTTAAGTCACACTTTGTGATTGTTTTTCAGAGAGGAAGAATCCATTCTTCTACAGTTTTCCTCCTTGGTAAGATGGACTCTGACATCTCCCAAACTTTTCAGGAAGAACTGAGCTGTGACATTTGCATGAACACCTTCATTGATCCAGTCACCATAGATTGTGGACACAGTTTCTGTCAGCCATGTCTCTACTTTGCTTGGGAGGAAACACAGACTCTAGTTAGTTGTCCTCTCTGCAAGAAATTATCCCAGAAGAGAGACTTCAAAACCAATATTCTTCTGAAGCATCTGGTGTTCCTTGCCAGAAAAGCCAGCCTCAGGCAAGTCCTGAGCGCTGAGGAACACAAGTGTGTGAAACACAATCAAAAGAAGAAAATATTCTGTACAGAAGAGAGAAACCTGCTCTGTCAGCTCTGTGCTCAGTCTCAGGAGTACAATGTTCATGCACACATTCCTATTGAAGGGGCTGCTAAGGAGCAATGGGTAAGTGATGGCTCTGAGAGCTATGGAAAGCTGGAGGTAGAAGGGTTAAGAGATCTGATGGAACTGAGATCAGCAGTCTTTACTGAATGAAACTTTAGGTATCAGCGATAAAATTGTGAATGAAGTATGCAACAGCTTTCTGGCTTATACCTTTAATTCTAGCTATGTTGGTGGCTAAGAGATGAGGTTCATAGTTCAAAGCTACTCTGGGCAGGATTTTTTTTTGGCAAGTCCTGGGACTCGAACTCCAGGCCTGGGCACTGTCCCTAGGCTTCTTTTGCTTAAGACAAGCATTTGGCAACTTGACCCACAGCACCATTTCTGGCTTTTTCTGTTGTACTAAGGGATCAAAACCAGGGCTTCGTAACAAGCATTCTACCACTAGTCCACATTCCCAGCACTGAGCAGTAAACTTTGTGATACTCTTATCTCCAATGAACTTCCAAAAAGTCTAAAGTGGAGTTGCTGCTCAAATGGTAGAGTGCTAGCCTTAAACAAAAAAGCTAATAGCAACCTCTTACCCTCATAGAGCTTACATGGTACTGTGAAAGTGATGATTATTGGTCATTATCATAACTGGAATGATTAATATACTGCATAAAGTGGTGTAAATCAATGTCAAATGTTTCAGGATAGCAAAACAGCAAGCTGAAAGTTTGTCTACAAAGGTTGAAAATACAATAACACTGGGAAATAAGTAGAATAAAACATTTTGGAAGTAGAGAAAAGAAATGACAATAGACTGAATTTTGGGTCCAATTGCTGCATTACCTGAATATTAACCATGTTTGTCAATGCCTCTTCAGAAAAAGAACTAGCTTAATTGCATTTTGTGGTTGTATAGTCTAAAATATCATAAAATTGATCACTATTTCTAGCACACAGAAAGACACAATCCTTTCTTTGTATTTTTCTCCATGTTAGTGTTTCTCTATTTGTGTCTATCACTGTGAGTCTGAAACCACTCCCCTGATCCTTAATTTCTTTTATATAGGAGATGATTTTAAAAAATGAGAACTGTATAGGAAAAGATACAAGAAAATCAGAGAAATATGAATGAGACTGTGGGTATAATCAATGAATGGATTGTAAGTATGACATTGTTTTCCCTCAAAAAACCAGCCCAAGAAAGAAAGACCACAAATGGATTTATTCATTGCATTTTCCATTGCATTTTCCTCATATTGGTAGGGATTTGAGGAGATCTTTCTTTATGATTCCTACATTTGAAAAATAATGGAACATTGCTGTCATAGCTGGGCTATGTAACAGAAAAGATTGATTTTAATTACCTACCTACTAAATCAGAAAATTATAATTTTATGTAAATTATTTGTTTCTGGTTTGAAAATGTATGTAAAGAAAATGATCAGTGAGAATGTTTCTTGTGGTATTTTAGGAATTAATGAGTAGATGAAAGAGTTTGAAAGAGAACAGGATTAGATCTTCAGATATGTAATAAAGAATACAAAGAGAATTACCAATGAATGGGGTTTCTGACAAGGAGGAAGGCATGACCTTCTCGGAGAGGCCATGATTCATGAAAGATGAGGTTGAAATGTAGAAGGCAAAGTGAGATGAATATGTGTTGTAGGACTTCCTTGTTTCTGCAGTGGTATGTGCATTATCAAAGAGGATTGCCAAAGAGATCTTTATGGGATACTTCATCTCGGTGTCCAGGAGGAATTAAAACAACATTCAGAGATACTTATAAATGAAGGGACTCTGACTTTTCAGCAACTTACTAAAATAAAAACTGAAATGTTTCTGAAGAATCATGACCTAATAAAACCATATAAGGAACTGTTAAAAACATATCAAAAGGCAGATGTGCAACTCTTACAGGTAAGGGACTCTTACAGGTAAGGGATTTATAATTTTTAGATTATCAGAAGCCCACATATTCTCTATCTTACTAGGCACCACTTTTTTCTATTGCTTGTGTTTTTCTTAACAATGAGGTATTGCCTAATAAGAAATTAAATGTATATGTAACAGGCACATGTATATACATGTACAAATACATCGATACAGGTATACATATATACAGATATATATGTATGTATATATAACCCTTATTATCAATGAACAGACAAGCTATATAGAATTGTGCATGATTTCCTAAGGAACTATTTCCTGAGAATATTTCTTCTGTTATTCCTCTTTCTAGATTGCTTCTTTAAAAATCAGACAGTAGCTTTTCATAAATATTCCATGTTTGTCTCCAATCCAGCATAAAAGGAAAATCGAGAGAGCTAACTTTTATTTCTTCCTCTGTCTAAACATTCCTGATTTGAGAAACCTGTGGAGTATGTTATTTGTTGTAGACAATCTCTGGAAAGAGAGTTTTGCAAAGCACTAGTACTTTATATCCATGAATGGTTCTTGACCCTGTACCCCTCACTCTTCACCCTCTGAGTTTTCAATTTAGCAATAATTTATATTTAGCCAATGATTTTTTTTCTTATGGCCACCCTAGACTAGGAAAAGGAGTTTACAACGAGAGTTAATGTGATTATGACTGTTGTTTTTCTGAATTTTTTAAATCAAAGGCTAGGGGGAGGGTTTAAGCTATCAATGATGATGAAAATCTCTTTTCTTTATAGGATTCAGAATATATACTGGCAAGGTAAGTTTGGTCTTCAATGTAAATGAGTCATCATAAGGACATTGATAGTTATTATGGTACTTTGTCCCTTTTCTTTATGTGATATTGTCCACTTAATATGACTTCTTTCTTTTCATTAAAAAATTAATCTTGGCTTCCCTATGCCTGAATAATATATTTATTACTGAATTAAATGTAGAAAGTTTGGGCACCTATCTTTGGTTTTAGATTTTATGTCATAATCATATTAAGAAGCTTAATATAGTTTTTAATCCAATGAGTGGCAGGCAGAAAAGAAGAAAAGAAAAATTATGCTGGGTGCTGGTGGCTCACGCCTGTAATCCTAGCTACTCAGGAGGCTGAGATCTGAGGATCGCCTGTAATCCTAGCTACTCAGGAGGCTGAGATATGAGGATCGCGGTTCAAAACCAGCCCGGGCAGGAAAAGACTGTGAGACTCTTATCTTCAATAAACCACTAGAAAACCGGAAGTGGTGCTGTAGCTCAAGTGGTAAAGTGCTTGGCCCAGGGTTCAAGCGCCACGACTGACAAAAAAATACTTAAGACTAGAAAAACTTTTCCCATGCTTATAAAGTTCTTGATGAAAATTTTTCAGTTGGGGCTGAGGTGAGGCTGAGGGACAAGCGGCGGCGGCGCGGCGGCCGTGGGCTCGCGGGGGCTCCTGGGTGCGACCGGTGCCCGGGCAGTGCCGGCCAGGACTGCGTCGGGCCGCACGACACCCTCCGGCCCCGCAGCGACCGCAGCTTCCCGGGCCTCTCGCGCCAGCTTGCCGCCGCCGCGGCCAGGAAGCGCCCGCCCGGCTCGGCACCGCCCCGAGGCTCGCTCCCCTGGTGCCGGGCGGAGGCGGCGGGCGGCCGGGCCCCGCGGGGGCCGCGGGGTCCCCGAGCGGAGGACGGGCGAGCCCGCGCCCCCGCGCACGGCTCGGGCTCGGGGGTGGGGAAACTGAGGCGCCGGCCGGCCCGAGGAGGCGTCAAGGTCACGCGGGTACCGAGGGCTTTCCGGAGGACGAGGGGGACGAGCGGGGCACCGCGCACGGGCCCGCAGGACGGCTGCCCCTCCTTGCTCCCCGGTGGGACGGGCTTTGGGTTCCGCACCGCGGCGACCACCAGCCCCGACCACCAGCCCCGTCCTCCCGGGCCGGTCCCTCCCGCGGACGCCGGCTCCTGCGCGCCATAACCTTTAACCCGACGAAGAGCACCGGCCCCGACTGGCGTTGGTCACGGGTACCGGACTGTCGCAGGGCCTCCAGTGCAGCACCTACCTCCTCCGTCCGGGGACTATGGGCAGGCCGGGGCGGGACAGCCTGCAGCCGCTGCCTTGCGTGATCCTGGAAGTCATCATGGAGAGGGCCTCACCGCAGGCGCCGCTCAGCCTGGGAGCGGTCTTTGGCCAGTGTCGACTCCACCTGTCCACAAGCATGGGGAATATCTTTGCAAACCTCTTCAAGGGCCTTTTTGGCAAAAAAGAGATGCGCATCCTCATGGTGGGCCTGGATGCTGCCGGAAAGACGACAATTCTGTACAAACTGAAGCTGGGGGAGATCGTGACCACCATCCCCACCATAGGTTTCAACGTGGAGACTGTGGAGTAGAAGAACATCAGCTTCACTGTGTGGGATGTGGGCGGCCAGGACAAGATCCAGCCGCTGTGGCGCCACTACTTCCAGAATACCCAAGGCTTGATCTTCGTGGTGGACAGCAATGACAGAGAGCGTGTCAATGAGGCCCGTGAAGAGCTCATGCGGATTCTGGTGGAGGATGAGCTCCAGGATGCTGTCCTCCTGGTGTTTGCCAACAAGCAGGCCCTCCCCAATGCCGTGAATGCTGCTGAAATCACAGACAAGCTGGGGCTGCACTCTCTACGCCACAGGAACTGGTACATTCAGGCCACCTGTGCCACCAGCGGGGACAGGCTCTATGAAGGACTGGACTGGCTGTTCCACTCAGCTCCGGAACCAGAAGTGAACCAGAACTCCCCTTCCCCCTCACTTCCTCCTCTCCGCCCTCAGCTTTCCTCTCATGTGGCAAACGTGCAACCCTGTAGTCTTGAGTGCCAGAAGCTGTCTCCATGGGTTGGTCACAGTGCGCACCACACCGTGCTGTGAGTGTGCAGACGCAGCCTGCAGCCAGGTTTTTATTTAATGTAAATTGTTTCTGTTTCCACTGAGGCAGTTTCTGGTACTCCTATGCAATATTGCTCAGCTTTTTTATTGTAAAGAGAATCAACTTACGGTCAGTACTGAGAAGAGATTTGGACATGTGGGCATCTGGTCTCCAGGAGCCAGTGGGTGTAGATGAGTATCTGAATCCATTTGGTGGTTTGTTTTTAACCTGAACTCAATGCATTTTTTTAAATTGTTAAAAATACAAGCAAAACACTTGAACACATAGAAGGGAGACTCTGTCTAGTGTAGGTTTTTGCAGTAACCGCCTGAATGCTTAGTCCATCAGATCAGCTAGCTGTTCCCCTGTGGAATAGGAGAGACGGTGACAAACGAACCACCATCGTTGCATGGTCACAGTAGAGCCCCCGTGACTCACCTGTCTGTGGATCACCTGCATTCCACAGTGTTGTGCTTGTACTCGTGCTCACATGGTCACCAAGGGGCTGGCAGGGGCCGGGGCAGGGCCTCATCCTTGATGGGCCTGTGGCCTAGCAGCCGCCTGCTCCGAGTACCTGCGGGCGACCTGGGTCTAGCCAGCAGGAGTCTGCAAGCTGGGAGAGTTGGCCCACTCCAGACCCAGTCCCAGAGCACCCCATCTCCATGTGTGAAGTAGCTTCCTCCCTCAGCCTGCAAGGGTCCGAGTTGTCATCGAAAAAGACGACCTCTATTTTTTTTCTTTTGTATTTTGATAAACACTGAAGAAGCTGGAGCTGTTAAATTTATCTTGAGAAAAACCTCAGAACTAGTTTATTTGGTGTCGTGGAATCTCTTACCGCTTTCAATACACAATTAATAATCAACTGTTTTGTATACTTGTTTTCAGTTTTCATTTCAACAAGCACTGTAATTATAGCTATTAGAATAAAGTCTCAACTATTTCAAAAAAATTTTTCAGTTGGGTTATTGAAAATAATTTAAAGCTGATTTAGACTTGAAGCCAAAACAACCCACTTTGTTTTTCTCTTCCCAGGTGAGTCAGTGTTGCTCTTCATGCCTCAACCTATGATTTCGTAACTCGGTGCTGATCCCATCCCTGGACTGATGGAGAAGCTCAAGCAATACCAACGTGTCAGCTCACTAATTGTGCTACACTGCACAGTTAGAGGAGTTTTCTGTGGGTAATATTTGAATTTTTAGGCTTGTATCTAGTATAGAAACTAGCCATTTGTAAATGTATTTAGTATAGTCCTTATGGTAATATGGAATAATACATAATAATAAATAATATTATATTAAATATGATTTGGCCTTGCCAGAAATTACATAGAAAAGGAAAAAGAATACATTTTAAAAATGTGTTGAGCTTGGAAAACCTTATAGGCAAGGTCAACTGTTCTGAGTCATACTAACAGACTTTAATACTTATTTACAAAATTTACCTCTAAAACTTTTCTTAAGAAGTAGATAATTTACAAATGGCAGATATTGCTATTGTTGTCAAAGATGTCTTCAAGAAAATATTTATTATCACTTCTGTTTAGTACAGTGATAAATGGTAGATACTAATCTTTTTATCTGTGCATCAGACATTATCAACAATTAAAGACTGAACTATTAAGTTGGTTACTTGCTAAGATTTAAATATCCTGGAAGAAAAGACAAGATAAAGACTCTGAGTCATATCTCAATAGCTATAAAATAAATTATTGGGGCTGGGAAGATGGCTCAGTGGTAGAGCACTTGTCTTGTATGCATGAAGCCCTGGGTTCAATTCCTTGGCACCACTTAAGCAAAAAGGAAAAAAAGCCAGAAGTGGCGCTATGGCTCAAGTGGTAGAGCACTAGCCTTGAGCTGAAGAGCTGAGGAACAGCACCCAGGCCCAAAGTTCAGGCCCCATGACCAGACCTCCCCCCCCCAAAAAATTGTTTGTAACATCTTCCTTGGCTAATGGATTTTAAATTAATCTTTTCTGAGTTTAAATACAATTATTTAAGTATAATGGGATAATTAAAGCAGAAAAAGAAGGAAACAAGAATCCAGACCCTGCTTGTCACCAAGGAAATGAAAACTAGGGAAAATATTATGGGTGTTTGTCCTAAAGGCATGTATATATATATACACACACTAGATAGATAGATAGATAGATAGATAGATAGATAGATAGATAGATAGATAGATAGATAGAGATAGATAGATAGAGATAGATAGATAGATAGATAGATAGATAGATAGATAGATAGATAGATAGATAGATAGATAGATAAAGTTTATATTCTAGTATGGCTCGAACCCATAGCCTAGACACTACCTCTTCTGGCTTTTTACTGGATAATTGGAGGTGAAAATATCTTATGACCTTTCCTGCCTGGCCCGGCTTCCAATCACTATCCTCTGCAACTATGACCAACACCCAGTTGCTTAGTGCATATTTTTTGAGGACTATTTCCTTTACCCTTCTTACATGAAGCAGTTAATTTTATTTGATGTTTCATCTGAACATCTGTTATCTGACTGTTTTACCTTGGAAATTAACACTAATGAAGTGAAAATTTTTATTTTGGAAGGATTTTTTTTTTCTAATTTGTTCCATGGGTCTTTTTTGCTTAAAGACTATTACTGTTTCCTAGCTACTCAGGATACTGAGATCTGAGGATTGAGGTTCAGAGCCAGCCTGGGCAGGAAAATCTGTGAGACTCTTTTTTTTTTTTTAGGGTAATGGATTGTTTTTTTTTGTGTGAAAATACTGTACAGAGGGGTTACAATTACTTGGGCAAGATAATGAGTACATTTCTTATCAAGCATTGTAGCCTCCTCCTTTGTTTCCCCTTCCCATCCCTTCCCATCCTTCCCC